AAGGTACAGGTAGGAATTCGTCTGAATACTCTGTCCTTTTCGACTGCGTAGTCGCCAGTAGAACGGAATGTAATCCAAACGACCAGTGGCATGTTGGCGGATGCCGCGATACTATGGTGAACTTTGCGGTATGCTGGCGGATGCTCGTTATGCCACACAATCCTCTTCGATGCTCCGCCGCCCGCCGGTTTACGCTAGCGCGTAAAGTTAACTCACTTATGGACCCTAAAATGAGGTCGTTTGTATTGATGTACGGAAGAAAAAACAATGGAAATGCTTTAAGCTTCGATTACTATCAAAGCCGCTGTCGCCAGAACTCACACACAGTCATGATTTGAAGCACTATGAAATATTGATGATGATTGGCACTGTATTCGGTGACACGCATAGCCGACGTCGGGAAAAGGACTGCCAAGCTAAAATGGGACTGGATACACCTGTTGCATGCACCATACACAAAGAAAGGCTTACAAAGCCACTTGATGGGCGCCGGAGAACGGCCAGCGAAGACGAGACAGAACAAGAAAATGATGGCGGGGATGACTTGGACTTTAAATTACTGGCCAAACATTGCGTAAAACAGAGAAATATGGAATTCGAAAGGAGAAAGAGGTCTTTGCGCAGCAGTGGGACACAGCAGGTTAATTTAAAAAAATGTTTTGACTTACATTATGTTTTTCGTATATTTTTTGTGAAAAAACTCAACTTGATACAACAAGTCCGGACACAAAGAAAAATTCCTTTGATCTGACAGGGCTCGACCCGCTGTCTGTCACGCCGGGGCCACCGCTTTTCACCAACTAAACAATATACCAAGTTAGCTGAAATTATGAAATTATTTATACGTTTGTTTACAGTACTTTGTATTTTGTGAGCTGTGAAAAACTCGATCGAAGGATCATTTCTTTGTGTTCGATTTTTGTATCAATAATAATATCAAAGTTTTGACGCTAGTTTTGTTTTTTGTAATACCCAGTGATGGGACGAGCCAGTCGTGCGCCTCCATAGCAGATGCAGTGCCAGTAGAGCTTTAATTCGTATAGATGTGAGGGGCACTGCCACTGCGCATGTCACACTGAGACATAAATTGACAAATCCCATCTGCCTGTTGATAATTTCACCAGCAGCCTTCAATGTGTATTACCTCCGTATTAACAATTTCAAAAAGTTTTTGTTTTACTATAGTTTTAAACTTCGAAAATAGAAAATTTTGAATTAGAATACTGATATATAATATATACTCTGCCCTTATATGCTAATGCATAAGCAAAGCCTTCGTGGCCGAACCATGCTGGTCTGCCACGCCGAGATCCCCGGTTCGAAATATTTGTACCTCTCGTGAGTTTGGGCGTAATTGGTGGTTGTCTATGTGTGTGTCCATAGCACTCGTGATACAGGGTTTATATAGCCCTAGTGCGGGGCTATGAGTGTGTGCGTTATTATTATTATTAAATGAATTTGTGACTTTGTGTAGGCAACTCTCAAGAATGGCGCGTTTGCTTTTATTCCCCATGCCAATATTACTTGTCTTGCAATCGTGTGTATGTGGTTGTAAAGGCTTTTAAGTATGTGCAAAGCTTTTGAATTTACATGTGTACGTTATTAATACAATGTTTTTTTTCTCAAAGTCAAATAATAATTCATTCCATAGGTAACATTTTTACACTTGAAAGCGTCATTTCTAAGCTACTGCTCGTTCACTACGCTGACCTCCCTTTTTTTTTTTTTTGACGGGGTGGAAATCTTTATGGATACCCCTGAGCCCAGCGAGACTCAGGAGTTATGTGGGGACTCTCCCTCCAGACTGGAGGGTCTACCCCACTAAAGGGCCTACCCCACTAAAGGGCCTACCCCACTAAAGGGCCTACCCCACTAAAGGGCCTACCCTACTAAAGGGCCTACCCCACTAAAGCCCCCCCGCGTTTCCCTCTCGCCGGTTGAGTCGGCGCCGTGGGATCAGTGAACATTCACCACGACACGCTGACCTCCCTGAGAAGAACGCGCAAGAAACTCTAGGAATTGCTCTTTTCAAATAAACTTAAATGCTATAGAATACAATTTCAATCATATTTGTGTGGAATCTGGACTCACGTTGTCTTTCCATACATCTTTATCTAACACGTAGTGTACAATTTTGTAATATTACTTTTCAAATAAAATACTTTTAATGTAAGTTTTAAACTTAGGAAATGGTAATCTTAATATATTCTCCGGAATCTTATTGTAAAAAAGTATACAGTTCCCCATAAAAGAACCGTTTACCTTAGTTAAACCAAATCGTGGTACCATGAGTTTGGACTTAGTTCTATGGTTAATGTTATGGATATCTTATTTCTTAACGAAATTATTATTTTACGGGCATATAAAATATTTTAGTACATGTACTGTGATGCCGCAGTCATGACACCAGTCTCCTTAAACTTTTCTATGAGAGAAATCCATGAACCTAAACGGTACACAGAACGAATCAGTCGTACTTTATCGGTCCGCCATATTGATTTTGTAAGGGGAACAAATATTCCTATTACATTATCTGGTTTTGTAGCAGGAATATTTTTTCCTCTCCCTGAGCTGGTAATGTAATCTGTTTATGGACAAGTAACAAGGGAATATTCAATGTCAAATAATATATTCATATGGAGGTAGCACATTAAGTACTTTCACATGATATCAAGGAAGTCACACATAAACTTTGCCTAGCCTATAGACAGACAATTTTCACACATGTATTTACTCAAGTGCTGATAAACGCAATAAGCAGTTGCAAGACCAAGTAGGTGTTACTCATGCAGATAAGGTGTTGGTTTTACACCTACTCAAAAGCAATAAAATTATTTGTTATCAGAAATAGGGCTTTATTTGTCACTTTGGTATTTTAGTGTTATCAGAGATTGTCTAATACTTATATTTGTCTATTTTTATCTACGCATGTGTTGTCATTTTGTTTTTGTCAAATTTTACCGTATTCTCCTAATCATATGTGGTCAGTAAGAGCCAAAATTGCATCGACGCGCTGCATCCTATGCACGATCACTTCACAATGCAACGGAAACTGAAGAGCCGAAAAAGTGTCATCAAATGTGTCGATCCTATGAGTACCGAGCGAACTCTAGAGAGGTGCAACCTTTGGCGCGAAAGAATACCATATATCTTTGTCCCGCCTTCTGGAAGCCTTTGTCTGCCATCGCTGATCTGGAAGTCTTTAAATAGGTTTCGGGCTTAGATTGGTCGAAGTAAGGACAATTTGTTCAGGTGGAGATTTTCGGATGGTTGTAAACTGGATTGTTTGTGCAGTGAGACTCAAACGATGGCCCACCTCACATCGTGGCTTGCATGCCCTATCATATGCACGCTTAAGGATTTAATGGCGGCTATTAGCGACGCGGTCGACGTGGTCGAGTTCTGGCCACAATACTATAGTGTATGCTATCGATACGATAAGAAGAAGACTTGGGGCCTTACCATGAACTCTTATTACGATTCATTTTAACGTAAAATGAATCGTTGTGAGACAGCGCTACATGAAGTGTATATCACCGTCCCGCTTCTTTGTTACGAACCTATACTGAACTGTAATAAGAGTTCATGGTAAGGCCCCAGGTGAAGTTTCTTGCAAGTCAGATTTTGTGCTTGTTGAAAAATAAATAATTTTGCGACATTTCTACGGAGCTGGTAGCTGTAAACGTATCTAACTGGGTGACGAAACACTTAGATTTCTCATAGATGGCGCTACGGCTAAACAGTCGTTGAAAAACCAAATATAAAAGACATGACAATAAGCACAAAGAACAATTCGCGAGGTCCGCGGGTTCATTCCGTGGCTTAGTTGATATAGCGTCTGCCACGGTATCAATTCAATACAAATTTAAAATAAATAATTTTATTAATTAATTCCCTTGGCAAAACAACAGAACGTGATGTAATAAAATACAGAGACAGAATACGAATAATTCTAGTTGGTAATAATTGTATTAAACCAGTTTTAGTCCGTGGTAGCTTAACGGTTTAATCACCTCTGAGGTTCGAATTGGGGATAGAACCTCTGAGATTTTCAGAACTTATGTGCAAAATTTAATTTGAAATTTACCACAAGCTTTTCAGAGAAGGAATATATCGCGATGAGATCTGCACGTCGAAGAAGGTCCACAACTCTCGAAAAACGTGGGAAGTTCCTAACCTAAGCGTGGCGGACTATAGCCTACACCCTCGCCTGAGAGGAGACCCGTGCCCGGCAGTTGGATGTATAATGAGTTGATGATGACCTATTTGATAATTGCATTTATTTTTTAAATTCGGTTAAAGAACCTGATTCTCGGTCGTCCTCGTCAGTTGGCCTCCAATTTTTTAAGCAAAACTACAGCTAAAAATTTTATACTTTAACTAAATGGCTGTTTTGACGTTTGTCAGCTCCTCAAGTTTCGTATTAATTCATAACTACGTTGACGGAGCTAATTGCTGTACGTTGTTCTCAATGATGACCTGCAGTATAATTTATGGATGTATAAATTTCGCACATAACTCTTAATTTTTTTTTTAATTTAAATGAAATGTAATACGATCGTCACTTATAATTTACGAGCATAACTTCTATTTCCGGCAAGCTCGCGTCAAAGCTCAATGCAAAACAAAGCAGTTTCGAATTGACGATATATTAAGTAAACATTTTTATTTTCGTTTTATTATAACTTTTTAATCAACTAGCCCTTGCAATACTAGTTATAAATCTAAAAACCTAAAGAAGCGACTCGCATTTGATTATGTTTTTTACGATAATGAATTGTGACTTCACTATAGTAATTTGTCAAAACGGCCATCATAGCGTGACGGTACTGTAAACATTATCTTTAGATTATACCTATAACGAGATCGCAAACTTTTCTATACATCCATGTATTTAAAATTGTACACATTAGCAGAAATTCTATAAACTAGCAACACTGTACCTAAACAATTATTGTATCTATTTCAGCGCGCCATTAGCTTAAAAGTAAATGCAAATTACCACCCATGCGTGGTGACCGATAGCTACGTTTTAAAAAATTAATTAAAAGAGTTTCATTAAGTGTTGGAAATAAGTTTCATCGAAATGGAAGGTGAGTTTAATGGGTTTTGGCATTGGTTTTGCATATTCTTTCACTGATTCCGTATTTTTTTTTTATTTTGCAGTTGAACACATAAAATAAAGGGAATCTTGTTTTGCGGAAAAACAAACAAACTAGATAGTGTCTTCGAAAACTTTTCAATTGATTCATTTATTTGATTGTATATTTTTTAGTGAAGTTCGATCGATAAACCAATTGTCTTTATAAAAATTTATGCGTCATATTATCCTCAAAAATGTTAATTTTTGAATGATATTGTTACTTTTTGCATGAATACATTGAGTGCAAGAAATAAAGATACACATACTTGTTCATTAATATAATATTACGCACATTCCGTTTTAATCTATCGTCCTTCGTAAATGTATGTTGCATAATATTTCTTTAACGTGTATAAAGCCCGGTAATTAAATTATAAACAAATGAATACCAATTTATTACCATTAGAAGCAACTTTAAATGTACTCAAAGTCTTGCATTTTTTATGCGATTAATGGGATTTACGATATTGTTGTTATATGCTTTTCATTTCATTTATAAAGGTATATATGTGTGTGCTTTTCTCTTGAATGCATGGAAACAATAAAAGGCTATAGAATAATTAATTAATGTTAAATGTATTTTTTTAACTATGTGGTGCAGGTACATATTGCGCATCATAATTAAACGCAAAATAAGTAATACCATAAACAATTTTTTTTTTTAATTCTCGCTAATACGTTCACTCATGCTAGTAAGCAGTTGGTTGTTATAACGTTTCTGTAGTCTGTTTGCGTAGCTCTTTTTTTAGAAGATATTTAGTAGTTGAGAGCGACGGACAGAAATGGATTTATATACTTATTTTCTTAGTATAATAACGCATAGAATGATAGTTTCCTATCAAACGAACTGTCACAAGTGAGGCAAAAATCAAATTCATGTAGGCTAGTTTTAGTAGTAGGTTACTTTTCGGTTTTAGTGAATATTTATATAAAAATACAAGTTGAAACGCGTTACTTCCTTGTGGAATGTGATGTTAGTATCTATTTTATGTTTGTCTGACGTATTTTTAAACTCATTTACCGCACATTTCGTCATTTTTAGCTAAAATTCTTGATCTGTTCGCAGTGCAAATTGACCTTGAGCACTGAAGGCCCGCCCGCTCGTGTAGGCCCTTTTGGCGCGCTTCAATTTGCCTCACTTAGCGTGTGCGGACTAGGTTTCTATGCGTTATTATTCTAAGCTTATTTTATCAAAGAATTGCATGCTTCATAAATGATAAACTTTGTAGGTTCTTTTTATGAAAGTAATGCAAATATTTCCGAGAATGTTTGTGAAAATGTATTTCATTTATTCAAACTACACAAATTATTTCGCTAAGCAATCGACAATACATTTATCTTTCCTTCAAGTAGGTACTTGACTTTGTCCGTATCTTTCATGCTGCAAAGTCTGGAAGTGTATATCATTGATAGCGATGAAAGAGACTCAGTCTTTTAAGGCGATTTATAACGACTCGACTCAATTTTACAGGACTCGACTCTAAAATTAAGACTGGAGGTTCGAGTTTTTTATTAATAAGACTCAGTCGTTATACTAAAAGACTTAAAAGAGTTACACGACTTAAACGACTCGAGTTGTTTGTAATGGACTTATATCTATTTTATGTCTTATTAAACCCTAAGATTATAAATAAAAATGACGTAGTATGTAGTAAATAATCACGTTTATTTACTTATAATGAAAATTTGGATTTAAAGAGTGATTTAAGCAATAGGTATGAGATTTTAAGACCTAATTATATAATGATTGCATCCAATACATTTTTTGCGAGTAAATGAAGTCTATGGAAATCCAGTTCTAATGTCCTTTTTTTATTTTGTGTAATATTGATCTGTAACCACTTTTCTTATTATGAAGTCCTGGTACTTTTGTTTAAACTTCATTAGAAACCCGTGCACAGTAGTGAGATACAATTTATCTGTAATACATAGAACAAACATATACATTAAAATCTCGCCTGTCACCCATTCAGGGGTAGGCAGAGACTGTGGACCTCCACTTAAAACGTTCATAAATAAAATAGTATGTTTCATTCATCATTATGGTCAAACGAGACACTAAAATTTGATAAAATATTTTGACTGTTGGGTTCAGTATCCATTCATTTTTATATTAAAGAAACAAATAATTCCCAAAAAACCAATTCTTGAATTGGTTATAATCATAGATTTAGTATATCCATAGATTGGCCCTGACGTATTGGAGACGAGACCAAAACAAAAATACATCTGTGTGCGTATAATGTGCATGTGTGCAAGATAAATAGTGTTGCGCCATCCACTGATTTAACTTTAATATCGATTAACATATTACACCGGCATTTCACTTCGTTGTATTCACCAAAATGTCTTAACGCAAAATACCGAGACGTTAATTAACTAGTTAATTAATGATTCAATAGAAAATTAAGAAAGCTACTATCACCTTCTGGTAGTGCCACAGGATGGTAGGTAAACAATGGGGACTTTCACCCAAGATAACACTATGGCTCTACAAAATGGTGATAAGACCCATGATCAGTTACGGCGCGATAGTATGGAGGCCACGAACCAAGCTGACGACCGCAACCTACAAACAAATATAACTATTATAATTATTGTATGATATGATAACATAGAAGTGCATCACAACAGTGAATTTGCAGATAAGTAATAGAACCAAAAAACCGGCCAAGTGCGAGTTCAACTCGCGCGGAGAGGTTTCGGTACAAACTTAACATTGTAGTAGAAGAATATGTTCTCCAATAGATTCCAACAGCAAATATAGGTTTATTCGCGCAATAGTAGGAAATTTAAAGACAATTTCTGTATTTTTTCAAAACTTTAGGCTCTGTAGTTTCGAAGATAAAGGGTAGAATGATCAATTTTTGTCTATTTTCTTAAACAACTTAAAAATATTTATATTTCATAATTACAAAAAATATATATTCTTAAGAACTTTCCCTCCCAATAGTGACTTAAAAATTTAGAATTAATTTATTTACGTTGCACGTTTTGGTCACACAAATGAATATGTGTACCAAATTTGAAAAAAATCAGTATCGTATTTTGGAACAGAACAGAACTCTAACAACAATAAATCGCTGATTTCTTGTTGATGAGGGTAGTGCTACACAAAAATCAATTAATTGTAAGACATACCGCATGAATAATGTGGGTACAGAACCAGAACGTAGCTTTACTCTTTGCTTGCCTCTAAAGGCGTTTTATTTAAAAGCATTTTTCCTCAAAGTGTTTGTTTGCTGCATATTTTTGAAAACTTTTTGGAAAGTCTTCTTTCTTTAGCTTTATAAGCCATTTCTGTCGTACTTCAATGTTTTGAGGAAATCTGAATCAACAACAATAATTAACATAAAAAATGGGTGCCTCAACTATGCTATTAAAAGAAATTTTCGTTTTAATGTAAACAAAATATAATGTACTAATGCAATATTAATTAAATATAAAGTACTAAATCCAGAAATTTCTGATTCAATAAATAAAAAAAAATTAAGTATGAAGATGATTTCGGCTGTATGCAAGTCACGCCTTTGCCTTTCTTTTTTTCAGTTAATGACATCTCGATAACATTTATCGATTGCGTCAATCTCTATGAAAGTGGGGTTATGAATTTCAGAAATTCACGTATTTGATATATTTTTTAATTGAATTCGTATACATTTGGGTTATTAATGCACTTGAATGGTATAATTTTACGGATATATTTAAGTAAAAAACTTTTGTGGTAGTGCTTTTAGACAGCTAAAAATTTAAATAGTACTTACATGTGAAATGTACAATTCTGCGAGTTTTCCTTTTTAGATAAGTTACATCCGGACACTGAAAACTTTACAATGACTAATAAACGTCCGTTTAACACTATTTCACATTTTAAAACCAATTATTTTTCAAAAATAAACGAAATTTGTTTCGTTGTCAGCTGACCCTAGGTTCATATAGCCTCATAGCTTATAATGAAGTGGTCTCGTCTACCCATCTCGTTCTATCATACGTTTATACTAACTCTCTTTCACTTGCATTGCCAATCTATGGGTACCTATATACTAAATCTATGGTTATAATTAACTGACTTCTGTGAACAAAGCTACGTTAACATGATCCATCAATCGTAAGATAAAATATCTTGCGGGTAGAAATAAAATCATACTGCTCATGATTCCCGAGGCTATAAGGCTTTCTAAGGTTAACAGATTCGAGTCAAGACTAATTGTCTTCAGTTTTAGTCTTATGACTCAAGTCTTGAGGGTTAAAGACTAGACTAGTCGTGGGGCGTTAAAAATTAGTCGAGGTTTCTTAAAAGGCCTATAAAGACTGAGTCTCTTTCATCACTAATCATTGATGTGTAATCAGACGGCCCTGGAAAATTGTACCGAGATAATAATTATACTTACAAAATAATACGCATTTCAGAAAAATCTGGGAATCCACTGCCATACTCTGGAGTGCCAACGTACCCTCACCAGCAGCTTCCACCAGACCCAGTTAATGTGGTCCCTGGTGGAGTCATCGTCCAGAACCCTATACAACCAAACGTAGTTTCAGCCATAGTGGTCAGCCCACCGGTTGGGCCGAAACCTTCCCATATGACCTGTCAGTCTTGCGGAGCAGAAATTGTAACCAGAGTTGAATATAAACCTTCAACAAAAACTCACCTGATTGCATTAGCTCTTTGTAGTTTGGGGTAAGTTAAGTTTGCATCTGAGGATAAAATTGTGGCAGTAGGCCGCCACGGTCCAATTAAGATTCCCGACGCACTACATCCAGAATTAATTTTTATTTCATCGATATAAACTTTAGGTCATTATATTCCTCACTACTTTTTTGATCACATTTATTAGCTCGTTGATTATAGTTTAATTGTGCTTAATAAGTTAAGAAAACGGAATAACATATATTTCTATGTGAAATCAAAAAGAACTACCCAAAAGTAGTAATTTTTTTTAATAACTTGCCAGACAATTACACTAATGAGTACCAAAGCAACGTAATTCACTATGTGCCAAAATACTTAGACCAGAACCTATTTAGAAAAGTTCGTTTTCAACGTGATTCTACCGAAAATTGAACCCACAGCTCCCATAGAGGAAACCTGGGTTTGTAGCATCTGAACCCGAGATCGGTTTAAAGTTGTAACGGACCCCAAATGAGCCCAAATGTAGCACGAGTATCGCGTGATTCCGCGACTAGTTGCTTTTCAAAAAGAATTAAATTTGTGTCGTCTGAACCCTAATCAAATGATTGGACTTGTCTCAGGGTGACATGCGCAGTGCGCCTCAGCTTTTTAAGCTCCAGTAGTACTGCAACGTACACCAATAACAGGCACTTACTAGCACACGACTTGATTAATTTCATAAAGAAATGTCAAGAACATTGTAGAAAGGCGTATACTGATTTTTCTTCTTCTATTCCAGTTGCTGGTGCTGCGTTTGCATCCCGTATTGCAAAGATTCCTGCCAGAACGCCGACCATTACTGCCCTAATTGTGACTCGTATATTGGAGTGTACTCTTCCTAGATTGTCATAATTTCGAGAAGTATTTTGCACTCTACCTATCTATGGCTTTTTGGGATCAAATTTTGTTAGTGTAAGCGTCAGCGCAAAGCGGTGGCTGGCAATTCAGAGGACATTAAATTCTTCAATGCATATTCTATGCAATTTCAATTAATTGAAATAATGACCTGAGACCGGCTTCAGAGCATCGTGGCGCATTTGTCTTTGCGGTATTGAAGAGCACGCTAGACGATATCGATATGCAACGGAATCCACCGGTTTTGCACCTAGATGCGCTGCGCTTCACTGCGTAGTTGCTAGTGAAACAAATTGTAATCCATTTGTAATCCAAGCGACCGATGGGATGTCGGCGGATGCCGCAGAATCGTAAAGGATCCTCATTTCATTCCGGTTTGCGTTGGCCTTTAAAGATATGTCATTTATGGTCCCTAAATTAGAACGCTTGTATTGCTATTAAAGTCAATATCGAACCCTTAAAAACCATTCGATGTTTTGGAATATGACATATAGCTGCTAGAAAAAGTTTGTCACCGTTGTGTATTTTTGTTGAGTACATATTTCTAGTACATTTATGACGAGAATAATTCGCGAAAGAAAATATGCGAGGATCGTAAGTGGTGATCAAAGTGTGGGTATAACTACACGTACAAGGGACTAGTCAACTGTATGTCTTAGAGCGACAGGTGCAGTGACAGTGCACCTCAGATTTTATTTATTTATTTATTTATGTAAAGAAAACTTGCGGACTTACAGCGTGCGCCAACACGTCCAGCAAGATTTACAATTAAACTTATACTTAAAATACAAACTTAAAGTATGAAAATTATGTACAAAACTTATTACGCCTTATAATCTAACATTTCAGTATATTTTAAATTAACAAAGCGACTTAATGCCGCTGAGAGAATATGCCACTTGTCGGCAAACACGTCGGCGTCCTGGATCTGCGACAGAAACTCATTAAGCATTACGATGGCTCTGGTGGTGGGTGCGTTGCAGGCGTGCACGGTACACGTACGATTTCCGGCAGGCAGGGCAAATAAGTTACGAGCGCGCCGCGCTCTGCGGCCTACTACGCTTGTATAACGATTCGGCGCAAATAGTCCAAGCTTTTCTAAGACGCACGGGTTATCCACTTTGTGACGCAAAAGTAAGCAATAGTGAACCAGTGTCTTTAAAACTCGTCTCAGTTCCAGAGTTTCAAACCCCACCATTCCAGAAACAAATAAAGACGGATACAGAAACGGATAATATTGATATCGCCTTTTATATAGATACCTAGCAAACTTGCGTTGGATACGCTCAATTAATAAATTATATTTTTTTTCAAAAGGATCCCATACTATCGCGCCATATTCGAGTTTGCTTCTAACGTAGGCATTGTATAACAATACAGCTACTCTGTCATCGTGGAACTGGGATGCTGTTCTTATTATAAAGCCAAGTACCCTATTCGCACTTTTGCATGTACTCATTATGTGATCACGCATGTTCAATCTGCTATCCAAAGTGAGACCCAAATCCTTGATTGAAGTCACTCGGTCAAGCGGGATGTTTGCCAGGTGGTAGCTTGCGGTAATCGGGTTACTAGATCTTGTAAAAGTAATGGTCTTACATTTTAGTCCGTTGAGCTGTAATTTATTGGAAGCACTCCATTCCGCAACAGAGTTTATCACTAGTTGAAGCGCATCACAATCGGATTTGCTATTGACAGGCCGCATTATCTTTAAATCGTCTGCAAACATCAAGGGGTATGCTCCTGCTATAAAATGCATTAAGTCATTGACCATTATCAAAAATTGAGTGGGACCCAAATTACTCCCCTGACTTACGCCAGATCGAGTGAAATAGTCCCCTGAACGACAAGCTGACAGCTGAACATATTGCCTGCGGTCTTTTAGATAATCTGCGAAAAAAGAAAGCAGTTTTGGAGTGAACCCTATGGCCGAGAATTTCGCCAGCAAGACGTCATTGTCAACGAGGTCAAAAGCCTTTGCGAAATCAAAATAAACGGCATCCACTTGCTTATGCAAGTCCATGTGTCTGAGCACATAATCAAAAAAGCAGACCTGATTTGTAGTAGTCGAACGCGCTATACGGAACCCATGCTCAGCATTATTCAGCTGACTATTGATCTGCCTAATTAGATTGCCGTTTATGATCTGCGATTATACCTCTAAGTTTTACTACAACTGTTGTGAGCGTCGCTTATACCAAGGTAATTTTGATTTTCAAACATCAACCAACCTTTACAGGGCCCATGGTTATTCGAAGTTACAATTTCAAAAATTCTGTATATAAAAATCATATAGTTACCAAAAACTTAAATTGAAAGGATTTGAAAGTCATAATTGTATCTTTGTTTATAATAAATCTATGTCATTAGCTTTATCGTGTATTTACTACTCAATTATTTTGTTGTAAAAACCTATATCTTATCTTGCAATCGTTTTATTTTTATTGTCTTATGTTCTTTTGCGACGTTAATAATTAATTTTCGTCAAAATTGACACGTCCATTGTTGATTCAAAGGGCGATATCGTATCTTTGGGGTAATATTGCCGCTAATGATAATTTTTCAGGAGAATTTACACTTGTTATTTCAATGGCTAGGACTTTCGTATTTTCAAATTATTCTTCCCTTCCTATGTAAATGAAAGGAAAAGAATTCCAGACTATTGAAATCTCAACTAAAATGTGCGTGAAACAAATGAACCATCGTAGGATTAATCATTCGCGCATTCCAGCTTTCGCAAATCTATTTTCGAGCTATCGTCATTCGCGCAAATGAACCATCGCGCTTTTAAGCTTTCGCGCAATTGACTATTCGCGAAAATATGTCGACGCGCATTGTACCTTTCGCGCAACCGTCTTTGCACCATTGTCATACGCAATGGTTACCTATTAGTAGTTCGAAATGACATTTTTCAGAAATAAATGTTTTTTTTTTAAACCTTACTTCCCTGGACGAATTCTTTATTATGGAGCTCTACTGCTACTAACATTTTCTACCGCTGATAATTCACATTCTAATCATCGACCTACCAACAAAGATTTATAATCAAAACCTAAATTTTAGAGTATCAAGCTATGTTTGCGCCCTTCGAGATTTGGGGGTGGAGGCCTCCGAAGCGCTTCAATCTGGAGCCTCCGTTTGCGTGTTAAGCGATCCAGTGCATTGTGACACTCCTAACGTAATTGATGCTCTCAACGGTGTTGTGGCGGTGTTGGCTACTCCACCCAACTCCTATTCCGCCGTCACGGACCCAATCGACCTGGTTTGTGGCAGAGGAGGTGACTTAGCTATGCTTGAGGTGAACACGTTATTTAACACATTTTACTTTTAAACCTAACATAACCTAACCTAACCGAACCTAATCGTGTCTTTGCGATAAACATCCAACATATCCTGAAAGAACAACGGTTCCGTCATAATTCGGTTTTCAGTGTAATGAAACTTCGAACAAAAGTTATTTCGGATAAAAAATCGAGTTTGTGATAAGTTACTTCGCAACCATGCGGGAAACCCGGATTTATTATACCAAGGGTATGACGAGTAAGATACTTTAGTGGTTATTTGTAAATAGACATTTTTCGCACTCTTATTTCAATGAAAGTGTCAAAAGAAGTTAAAAAAAATGCGAAATAAGATTATTTGTTCGTTTTTTTTATGTTTATTTACTATCAGTCAAAATTGGAGTGCACGAAAGAAGCCTACCCGCAGAAACGAATCATTCCTTTTTGTATGTCATGCGAACCCTGGCCAATTAATCGGCGAGTACCTTACGCCGAATGGCAAATCCTTTGTGTATGCCATCGACAATTGAGGAGACCAGTCTAATAGTACAATGGTTGAAGCCACTTACGTAATTTTATTAATATCTGTTTACGCACATACGATTTTTGGTGAAGGTGTTGGAACGTAACTAACGCTATTACTTGTATAGCGGGGTATCCTACAAGTAATAGCGTATTGGTATTTGACTCGCGTACACAACATCACGTGCCTCCGGGCTGATGAAAGTGTACTTTATATACACAGACTGACCCCCTCTATAGCAGCATTATCCTATGCAGTATGTAAGACAAAATAAGGTTAGTACTTCCTTTGCTTCGAGGTTTTATCATTTTAGGAGTGGGAGATTATACAATTTTATAAATAAAAAATTAAATATAGCAAATGCATGTGAAAACGCAAACAAAAATAAAATAACTGAATGGCTTAAGGTACAGAATTACGACGAAACCGAAAGAGTACTTGAAATATGAACATAGTTATAAAATGTGTACTACCTAATAACTTGTCTCGCGCCCGGGCAAGCAAACACACACACACACACACACACACACGCACACACACACACACACACACACACACACACACACACACACACACAC